ACACTTTCTGACTGAAGTGCTGCCCTTTGACAGCCAGGCCAAGGGCGTTTCCAGATAGATTCTCCCAGTGATCAAAGGACACGGTGGAGTATTTCCATCTTGTTCTCCTTAACAAATGGTTTTTAATTGTTATTTGTTTGCTGTGCAGTAAGAAAAAACTATTAGAGTGGTTGTGGGGGAAAGGGGGAAGGGTTACAAATGGAATATGATGTGTGGCCCCAACATAACATGCTGTTTCTGAAATAGGGTGACTGCACTGTCAAAACCTCGACTAGATGCTCCCCAAACAAAATGGACTTAATGATGCTTAAGAAAAATGTTGAGGCCTGAGCTCTGGAGAATCTGAAAGAGGAGGAAGTTTTGTGGTTGAGGACAGTAAGTGGCAACAGCAGACTATCCTGATGAGTTGTTCTTAGCATTGCTAAGGAACAACTCCCTCTCAATTAAATTTTGCGTATGTTATTGGACTTCATCGACTGTGTTCCTAAGTCCAGGCTGGGTGCAACTTCTGAATTCAATGACAACCAGGAGCAAAACTCACATTTGACTGGATACACAGGATTACTTCAGATTTATTTGAACGTTGACATTGTAAACAATGAGCTTGTTACAACAGGAGATTTTCTTTCTTACTTTAAAAAGAAAGCATAACAAAGAGGTGTGCTTGAGTCATCTTTCCCTTTTAGCAGTCAACAATATGGTGGCTAATTAACTGAAGAGGATAAACACTAGTGAGACTGCTATAACATCCACCCATTGGTGCTCACTGTGCTGTGTCCAGGCAAGGCTTTTGTCATGCAATTGCCCTCATTCACAGAATCCGAGGGTGAGTCCAGCAGTTGGTGGCTTCAACTTGTAAACCTCCCATATTCCTCCCCATCCAATTTCTTCCATCTTTCCCCCCATGGAAATAAAAGAAAAATGGACAACAACTTGAAGAAGAAAAGACAGAATAGTTATAAAAGATCTTTGCTTTAGTGGCCCTCTACCTCACTCATATGCTCAGAAGCAAATGTTATCTTTAAATACACAGAAGCACCCATTAACAACACTGATGAGGAAATTAAGATATTTAAAATCTTCCTAACATATTCAAACCTGTAGCGACTTTTTTATCATTTGGGAATGTTCTACCTTCTTGCTTCCAATCTCTGCCTCCTAAATCATTAGGACCCTGAACCTAAGCAGCTAGGCCACTCTGATTCCCATATCTTTTTATGGGATATATCTGATTCTAGTGTCAAAGTGTCAAAGTGACACTAGATAAGTATAAATAAAAGACAGCTACAGATACAGCTTACAGTGTTGGCTTGAGCTGTGGCTGAAGCCCACTAACTGGTATATCAGTTTCCATTTCAGGCTGGGTGACATTCATTCTTCCTTATGTGCCTTTTTCCCTTTGCTTCGATCCCTACCTTATCTGCAGATGCTTTTACTTTGAAGTACAGGACATTTTCTGTACATGCATGAAGTGTGTGGCTCTTGCAGAGAGACATGACACATGCTGCCAGTCAGAAGATGCTGTGTAGCTATTCCACTTTTTCTTCCTGCACATAGTGTTTGGTAAGAAAAAGGTAAAAGAAGCTGTGGGAAAACATTGGAGTGATACAAATAGAAGGCAATTCATATGAAGTACTGTGAATGGGGAAGTATGATTGCACAATAAATGCTTCATCTGGAAGTACTCCAATGTTTGAAGAGCTAATAAGGATTGCGCAAAGGGCTTGTTCTTTCCAGTAAAATTGATGAACTTTTGCTCAGACAGCTATTACTTTCCCATCCTTCACTGCTATACTTTTTTTCATAGTTTTTCAAAATTCTTCTCCAATTCAAAAATTGTCATGAAGGGGCATGTGAAAAACAAGCCTTACAGAGCAATCCTATGTGTGTTTATTCAAAAATGTATCCTGGTACAACCTATGGAAATATTTCTAAACAAAAGTATAAGAAAGTACATTAAATTTTAGGAAAAAGTGACATATAAAACTAAGAGAGAGATGGCGATTCAATATCCTTTTCGGAAAATACCCTGTTCATTGTATCCTCAGTCAGTCAGCTACATGGTTAGGCTTTTTACACAGAAGGTGCTGAAAAGCTGCAGGAAAATCAACTCTACCAGGTTCCTGCACTGTGTTACAGGATGCAATCTGGTGGAGCAAAAGTTCTTTCAGGCTGCAAGGCCGCTCATGTGCAGACCCAACTTAGTTGTGCCTTTTCTCATGTAGCTTGCCCTTGCATGGTTTATTTTTCAAAATAAAAAGCGACATAGAGGGCCCGAGGACAGACTGGGACTGAGGGAAGTCGAGAACTTGAACTTTTGCCTCTGATCAGAATGGGGTTTCTTCATACCTGCCAATGGGAGCTTTCTTCCTACTGTGAATAGCAGCTGTAAATGTGGTGGGAGATGAAGACCATGGAGCAGGGGCAAAGGTTTAAAGCGCCCTCCTTCCATGTCCCAATTGCAATGCAGCTTGGCCCCCTGCACCAGCTATTGGTGTGTGTGTGTGTGTGTGTGTGTGTGTGTGTGTATGCGCGCATGGACTAACAAGAAAAGCCACATCTGCATTTGCCCTTAATTGAAAACAAATGCCAGTGAAACAGCAAACATGGCCCTAACACAGTTAGTCTGTCAATAGTATTTCAAGACACTTTTTTTTTACTTTTCTTGTGTCCTAAAAAATGAACCTGTAATGCAGATATTAGCATGAAAAATTCTCCTCATCACTATCTCCTTGCCAAGAAAATATTTACCTACTTTATGTTTTGCATGAGAAAGTGCTATTCAGGACACAACAAAAGCTATAAAAGCCTTGAAACTGAGGAGGCTTATGGCTCCCATGTCAGTGGGGCAGTGTATCCCTCTGGGGAGCAGCCAGGACTTGTAAGAAGCTGTCCGTGGTTATAAGATTCAGTACCATGGATAGCCCCTTTAAAGTTCAGATTAAAGCCCAGGCGTCACCAGCCTCTGCTGCTTGAACTGTAGTTGGGTTCTTATACCAGGTAAGCCAGGGAACACGAAGACAATCCCACTGCTGTCTCACATGCTCCAACAAGTGTACAAAAATTGCCACTGATTTCAGAAGAGCCATTTTCCCTGCCCCAAAGCTGCTCGGTGTGCCCTTATGAAAATCTATGACTTCCCATGTGGGAATGACCAAGATCAGGAGCATGACATGGAGGAATTGTGCCTTCCTATGGCTTTGTATCTGTCATTTCCAGTAACCACTATCCTGCTCATAGATCTTTCCCATTCACCATGCCTGGCCCTTGGTATGAAGAGACATCCAGCTCCTAATTTGTGGTAGACTCGGCTTGAATGCAGGGGTGTTTAGACCATTTCCCCTGTATGCAAACACACCTCGTTTCAGTGCCTTGACCTCACTCGCCCCCTTGGGGCTAATGGGCAACCTTTCAGAGAAAACCAAATTCGAGAGCAGCTGGACCCTCCTGTTCCCGGCACTCAGCGGCTGTGTGTGCTGACAGCTACTGGTAATAGTTCGCATATCGCCACCCTGCTCCATTCTAGAACAATGGTGAAGTTATAAAGTAACATGGATTGCTTGAGGATGGTGACAGTGATTCTAAAAGGTAACAAAAGAAACATTTAAACAGATGAACATGGAAGGTGTCTGAATCCATTTATCTTTGGCTGAAAGGCTGCCCAGAGCATGGGAGAAGGGTAGAAAATCAGCGCTTCATTTGGATCCAGGTGCATGTGTCATCGGAGGTGTGAAGGTGAGGAGGAACTGCAGAAAAACAGCTTCTGTAGACAGAGGGGCAGGGGTGCAATTGGCAAAGTCTGGGGCAGTGTTGGAGGGTGCCTGTGCTGGGACGGGGGAGCTGTAAGGTAAAGGAGGGGGCATAGGATACCACTATATTGTTAGTGGTATCCTTCTCCCAGTAAAACAAGGATTCTAGAACCACGCCTGAGTAAGGGCTCAGTCAATCAGTCAAGGACACAATCTTATCTGGACCTCCATAATCCATGAGCGTCCTAAGTAGGACAGAAGAGTTTTGCTCCCACACTGCAAAAACATAGACTGCTGTTTTCAACTAAGTTGGGTGCCTTGGAACAGGAGGGAAGGAGGCTGAGAGTGCCGCCAGGTGGTGGCACATGTCTCCTCCCTTCTTTGATCCCTGAATGCCTCTGAGGTGGTGCTTAGAGGCTTGGAGTTGCAGGTGGCACTATGCTCTGCATGCCAGCTGCAGGGGCGGCGGAAGCTCTCCAGGGGTGGGGACCCAGCTATGAGGTTGGAGTGATTTTCTGACCGTGTCGCTGGGTCTCCAAAAGACCCTGTGGCTGCCTAGACACTGTCTAGCGGCTGTAAGAGTGTGCTGTGAAGGTCACATCCTATCCATGTTTGCACAGGACGTTGCTGACTGCTGAATGCTGAGAGTTGTAGGACTTTTCCTGTTTAAAGATGTGGAAGACTGCACCTTAGATCTAGAATAATTTGTATTTGAGAATAAGCAACATTTATTCAAAATAGATTTAAAACAAAGACACACATACAAAGCTGCCTTAGACTGAGTCTAGGCCAGTATTGTGGGCACTGAGCAGCAGTGGCTGTCCAGGGTTTTTCTTCCCTCTGTGCAGATGCCAAGCTGCAGCGTTCTGGCACTGGATGACAGCCTCATCCCGATAGGCACATCAGCCATCCTCTTAAAAGAAACATCCAGTCTTTCTATTCATGCAAGGGAGAGGAGGGTCTTCCAACTTGCTGTCTGCAGGCTTTATTAAAACTTGTACTTGTAAAAAATGTATTTTAAAAACTGCCACTCAATTTGTCTGGGGTCTGTTTTTAATTAACTAAATAGTGCAGTACTTCTAACTCTCCCAATTCTTTACTTTTGGCATAGAGCACACATGTCTATAGGACTGATTCAGTGTCATTTCAAACTTGTAATTTGAAAATACACTTCTAAAGACAGGCAGGATTGCATATTTTCTCGTGCTTCCAATTTGCTATGCAGTCTGTCACCCTCCTTCTAACAACATCCTAGTTATTAGCCTCTTCTGCAGGGACAGGGGAACTTTGTCAAAGAGCCCATTCCCACCTGGTGGTCTGAAGCATGTTAACAGATAGATCAATAAACATCAGGTAGGAGGACCAAACATCTTTGCTTTAAAAATGCCATGCCTGACATTTGAAAGCAAAGAACAGGAATGCTGGAGGAATGCATACTTAGGTATGAAAATGAAGAGAATAAGTGGCTGTAGCACAGTCTTCCCCAACCTGGTACCATCCAGATATTTGGGATTACAACTCCCAGCATTCCTGACCAGTGGGGCTGATGGAAGTTGAAAGCTGTGTTGGTGCGTGGAAAGCACCAAGTTGGAGAATGCTGATGGGAAGATGCATAAGCTAGCACTTTGTAAGAGGAATGATAGGGGAGTGATCTGGTTTTGAGTTTTGAAAAGATGAGATCTCAAAAGTGAGTCGCTTAAGATCCTTATTATTCAAATTATTTTAGGGTAGTCACAGGGCCTGCGCCAGGGGCACTGATTCAGGCAGAGCAAGGGGGTAAACACAAGCGGTACAACCCTTACGGAGAATGCATCATCACCCAGGTAATGTGGTACCTCTCATTTGGGTACTACTTTTCACACTTCATTTTCTAGCATTTAATGCTAGGTTAGCTTCAGCAAAGGACATCAAACTGCTGGATGTAATAAATATTAATAATACTTGTTATGTCATTTATATTTTAGGTTCCATGCATGCTCCTGTTTTCAGTACAGTCAAAAAGAAGCCCCTATCACTTCACTAGCAGCAGAACCAAGAACACTACAATTTCACACCAGAGTAGTTTGTCAATACAGTAAATATCGAAATAGTTGTACAGTTGTCAGTTTCAAATATTTGCTGGCCCATTGGTCAGCTTCAAGGAGCCCTTTGATACATCAGTGTTCAGAGTTGAAAGGGCAATGTTCTCATATATCCTTCGAGATTCAAAGCATCTCAAATTATGAAGCAGAACAACCAAATCCTTTTGAAAATTCTTGTTAAGAAATCCATAGAAGACTGGATTGACACATGTTGAAATCATGGCTACTAAGTGGCACAAGGTAAAGACCACATTATGGTGGCAGTTCATGAGGGCCTCATAGTTCCAGTCAAACACTATGTTAAATACATTCAGGGGTAACCAACATGTCCCAAAGGTCAGAACAATTGAAATCAGCATAATGTTAATCCTTTTATTCTCATTTAGTCTGTTCTCATTCTCCCTAACTTTATCGACTTTATTATGCCTCTTCCGTAGACATACAAATATCCTTAGATAACAGATGAAAATGAACACAAGTGGGAAGAAATACTGGAAAACTAACATGGTGGTGGTAAAGCCAAGCCGCTCTTCAATGGATGGCCACACCTCAATGCAGACAACTTTGTTGGCATAGATATCATTGTGGTAAGAAAGGTTTCTAAGGGGATCATCAGTGATTTGGTGGAATATGAAAAAGGGAGTTGATATTATTAGAGAAAATGCCCAAATGAAGATAATTGCCCAGAATGCATGAGAAATGTTGGGCTTCCAACCACGTGGGTTCACTATTAACTGATACCTCTCGACAGCAATTAACACAAGGGAGAATGTAGAGACAGTGATGGACATGCTTTGCACAAAGGAAGTTAGTTTACACATGGCTTCTCCAAACACCCAATAATCCATCAAAGTGTATGCCACAGTGAAAGGAATGCACATGACACAAATGAAGATATCAGAGATGGAGAGATTGGCAATCAAAATGTTGGTGACGTTTTGGTTCTCTTTCTGTTTCCTGATGATAACAATCAGGCAAAGGTTGCCAACAAGCCCCACCAGCGTGACTATTGCATACGCCGTGATGAGCAGGAAGATTGCAGGAAGAGAAGGATGGCAGGATTCAAACTGCATAACCTGGGACTTGCTGCTGTTTGCAACTGATGGACTCATGCCAGGATCTTGAATGGTTTTATCCATCATGGAACGCCACTGAAATAACAGGCATAGTTTGGATTAAAAGTCCACTTAAAAAAAAATCCTACTTTGTATATTGATGAAATTATGGGTGGAAGACCCCTGGCAACTTTCCTTTCTTCCCTTCACCTTTTTTAATAGGACCAACTGGCAGAAGACACACAAATCTCTAACAGAGATTTTCAAAAATTACAACACTGTGAAGTTAAAACATCAGCTGCAATCTATCAATTGCCTCAAGATAAAATTCTGTAGAGGTCCAGAACACACTCTGAGCTCTCTTTGAAGAGGCTCCCACACTGAGTTTGAGGACAATTCTGCACTATCAGTAGAAAGATCAAGGCACACTCCATTTGTGCATCAGAGATCGCATGTCTGTGCTGGAATGGGCAGTTCTGATCTCAACAGCCCAGTTTAAACATGTTAATATAAAGATCAACTTCCTATAAAGTATGCATAGGACTGCAGCTCTGTGCCATACCTCTGCCCCCATGATAACACACACATACACAGAACAATCAGAATAAAGTATACATGTTAGGATCACTGATGCTTATTTTTTAATCCACATTTTTTCATGCTCCATTATTTAGGCTGCACAGTTCTAGCTCCCACTGAAGAAGAGAGTTTCATCGTATATCATTATGATACATCCAAAATGAGAGATTATTTAGTCCCTGTAGCCCATGTTACCCGAAGCTTTTGAAGTGTTTGAATTAGGTTCTGTAGAACATGGTGGTCCACATTCACATACAATCTAGTATCTCCACCAGTAAGTCCCAAATCCTAAGAGTCCTGTAGACAAATGGCCTGCTGGCTCCATGAGTGAATTGGTTTGATACGTGGTCCGAGCCCTGACAGCTGTTATGCGCAACGCACAGATCCTCACAGACAGCACGGGTTGCATGACCGCCCAAGCACCCGCCCAGCTGAAAGCACTGGCTGCCCACACAGCGCTGCGTGCATCGCTCCCGCCCATCAATGGCAGCCACCAGCGTGACCCTAGTGCTATAGGTGGTTGTTGCCGTCGTCCGAATGATTTTGCATCGTTTTTTTTTTTACTTCTGAGGTTTTTTAAAACAATTGTTTATTATGAGCTCTGCAGCTTTCCAGTGCTTGCCAGAATGCAGATGGGAGGTTGTTACATCATGACATTCTCCTGTTGGCAATAAAAGCTGGACAATACAGAGATCCTTGCGTCAAATATTGGTTTTTAAGGTTAAAAGACCATAAGGTTTGGTGCATACAGCTTGTGAAGTTCTGGTGTGCTGCCTGAGTATGCCCATTTTTTTAAACGATCTGATCAGCACATGTTGTGTAATTAGCTTCTAAGAGCCAAACTAAACAAAAGTGAGGGCTGGGAGCAAATATATGTATATCACTTTGAGTTCCTGGTAGGAAAGGCAGGATAGGAATGTAGAAAGTAGATTCCTTCTTTCTCTCTCTCTCTCTCTCTTTTTAATAGTGACTTCCTTCCTTGATCACCCTTATCTTGAATGGGAACTTGATTGATGGGAGGCCCTGTGGCACCCCACTAGTTACCTCCATCCAATTTGAGAAGGTGCCATTGATGAGCACTCTTTGTGACGGATTTAGCAGCCAATTTTGGAACCACCCAGTAGTTTTTCCATCTAGTCCAGCTTTTGCCAATTTGCTTATCAGAATGTTGAGTAGCACTATGTCAAAAGCGTTGCTAAATGTCTAGGTAGATTATGTCCACATTATTCCCTTTGTCCATTTGAGAGGTTACCCAGTCAAAAATGAGATTAAATTAGTCTGACAGGATTTATTTTTGATAAATCCATGCTGACGTCTATTAATCACTGCATTTTCTTCAAGATGCTTGCACTTTGCTTATCATTTTCCTGAGTTCGTTAAAGTCGGCTTTCCTGAAGTCCAGGATGCATGTTTGGCTCCAGTTACCCTTTGTCTCCTTTATAACTGAGAATTCAAGTATTGCATGGTCACTTTCCCCCAGAGTTCCCATGGTTGTTATTAAGTACACCAGGCCATCCCTGTTAGTATTAAATTGAGGACAGCCGATCCTCTTGTTCCTTTCTCTACTTTCTGCTGGAGAAAGTTGTGGGCATACATGTCAGGAACCTCTTGGAGGGGCCATGCTTGGCAGAATTTGTCTCCCAGCTTGTATCAGGGAAACTGAAGTCTGCCACGATGACTACATCATTCTTCTTGGAAATGCTGGCAAGTTGCTTTTCAAAGGTTGCATCCTTGCCCAGTTTTTGACTGGGTGGTCGGTAATAGACTCCAATAACTAAGTATTTTTTATTTTTTGCTCCCTTAAAATTTTTCTTCCTTAGTGGTCCCAATCCACTTCAGGGCGTTTTACAGTTGCTTTTTTTAAAGTGATGCACAAATGCAATTTTCTAGCTGATTCTAAGGAATTTCATACACTTCAGCTGGCCAATAAATATTATCTAACACTGCTTAGATGTGGCTGCAGGTAGGAACTGATACATAGATCTTTAAAGCAGCACTTGACCCGTTTTTATTTTCTGATTACATACTCTCACTTTTGAATGCACTTCTGAGATGCAGTTTGCTTCAAAGGCAGGGTTGGCCCTGCTATGCAGCAAGATGAAGTGAGCTGCTTTAGGTGGCATCACAAGTGGGACTGGCAGAAGGCCGACACTGGTAGCTGAACAGTGCAGATGGACAGTTTGAGGCACTTTCCCTAGTAGTCGGTGGAGGGCACTTGGGCTTTGCTTCAGACAGCCAAATGGATTGGGCTGGCAGCTTGAGACTACTTTTCTCTGCACATTTCTAAATTTGCATGGCTTTTTAGTTGCCTTATGTCAGGAGTAAGGAACCTTTAATTCTTATGACTGTTAACACCCATGTAAATCAACAACATAAAGTTTATGTTGTTGATTTACACTGGCATTATCCGGCTCCAGATTAGAAAACATTCTTTAGATGTACGATAATAGCTTCAGTAAAGTTGTTCACGTGTTGCTAGACTGTGCTGGAACACACAGAGAACGTGTGCAGGGGAGCAGCCTAACAAAATTCTCATTTGTCCCTCTTTCACTTAAAAAAAAAAAATCATCCCAAGCCCACTTACAGACATTCTCTTTGAATAGCCAAACTATGACTCACCGTAGTCCATTAAAGAAGTGAAACTCAATCCGTTTTTGCTTTTCTCAATACGTATCCCGCTGTTTCAAGTTAAAGCCAAGATGAAGAAACAAGCAATCTGTATAACATTAAGAAGAAGCACAAATTAAATTGACCATCATTCTTACCTATTTTTCCCATTGTCACATAAGCATTCATGGACTAGATGCCATTCATTCACGTGTTACAGTTTTCAAGTTCCACAAGACCCTTTTGTTGGCTTTGCTGCTTCTGGGATTTCCCCCCACCCTTATTTTTTTTTTAACAGAACATAATTTTCTTTGGGATTTTTCTTTGTAATGCTTTCCTTTTGCAAGTATGGGCAAGCAGAATTTGAGAGAGCCAAAGGCTGATCATGCTGACTTTAGCCTTGCAATATATGACAGGCCATAACATATGGTCTGTAAAAGCTGTGGAAATATTATAACAAACAGCAGCATGGAATTTTGGGTGTTACCATTCCTCTTTCCAAAAAGTACCACAAAAACAGGGAAACACCAGGTGTGAGTGTTTTATTCACAGAGTTTTGATATGTCATATAACCCACAGATTTGATGCACTATTTGGACTTTATGACTGAAGTTTCAATATGATCCAAGAATGCATTACTCACATCCATCACGCTTGATTAGGGGACGGGGAAGCACACAAGAGGGATGGAGCTGTCCCCACATCAGAATCACTTCCCTCACTGCACTGCATGGGGAGGTTTGAGGCGGGCTTAAGCTGGGTATGTGCTCATGTCTAACATTTGGCCCTCCGGGACAGAGTGGCATTTTATTGCCTCAACTACCAGAGCCTTCAGGTAAATATGCACTCACAATCTCTCTGCTGTCATTGGCACCTACCTTGACGAGCTGCATTCTTTCCCTTTCTTCCTACCATGCACAAAACCACACCAATTCCCAAGTTCTTTTACCATAGATGATATAAACCAAATGTATAGAGTGTACATCAATTGATTGATCTGACCTGTCCTGTCCTCTCCTGTCCTATTTATCATCAGTACGACTCAGTACAAACAAAAGCTTAAGGAGATTGTTTGAAAAAATAACAGTCTTTCCCACACAATTGAAATGTATGATTAACTCAATGCACAAATCTGAAACATAACATACCATATGTTGGTTTGATCCACTGTTTCGATACTTTTAGAATGTGGTAAGGTTACTGACATGTTGACAAGACCAGTTCAAGGTCCCATTGCTGAAAAAGAGAAATTGTATTGTGTATTAGCATGCAAACAATGGCTGTGGCTTTGCTGAGGCCTCTTCCTTGCTTAAGCTACTGCTCCTTTATGGACATTGTGTGATGATAATGAAACCTACTGCACTGAATCATATGGATTTTATTATTTATTTATTTAAAACTTTTCTAGACTGTCCCATTACCGAAGTCTCGGGATGGTTTAACAATACACAATGTAAAAATAAAACACAGAGTCCTAAAAATCCAACTAAGAATAAAACCCCAATTAAAAAGGTCAGGTCCTAAAACATTGGGAAAATAAAAAGGTTTTGGCTTGGTGCTGAAAAAAATAAAGTGATGGTGCCAGGTGAACCTCTCTGAGGACGAATTCCACAATTGGAGCACCACTGCAAAGAAGGCCCTTCTTCAGATGGTCACCCTCCAAATCTTCAGGGAAGGCACCTGGAGAAGGGCATTTGCCCCATATCTCAAGGGGCAGGCAGGCACATAGGGAAGGAGACGCTCCTTCAGATAACCAGGCCGTAAGCCATTTAGAGTTTTATAGGTCATCACCTTTATTTATTTATTTAAGGTTTTTATATGCCATCCCATTACTAAAAAAAGTCTCTGGATGGCTTACAGAGATGGCTTACATTATGGATTGATTACCCATCCAAGTT